CCTCATTAAGGGCACACCACAGCACATTACTGTGACGGCTATGCAAGGCAGAGTCAAGAAGGCTACACTCCCTACTCTCTGGACACCGTAATGTAAATAATAACACCATAACCCCTGTCATCTAACTGAAGTTAGCCTGGCATCTGCATATCATCTTTTATCCCAAATGTGTAGGTATTTATACTGAAGTAGAAAAGGCAAGAACTGTGAGGCATCAGTCCCTAGGTCACCCTGGGACTGTGCAACAGCTCCTAAAGATGGCTCTGATGGCAAACACTGGCAGCTGCACTGCAGGTTCAGCAAGCTCATTCTCATGTCTCCTGTCCACAAAGCCACTCATTGAGCCCCCTCATGCTGCTCTGAGGGGGATTTGTCCTTAAGCTGAGCCTGCTCCAAATCTCTGTGCCACATTGATTCAGTCTCCTTTCACACTATACGAGATAGTCAGGATACGTACAATAGACAGATACACTCAGAAAAGAGAGCAGAAGAATAGAGGGATTTAAAAAGGGGGAAGATGGTCACCTAGAGCTCTTCTAAGAGCAGAGCAATAAAAATCAAAAAGGCACATGTATCCTCTGTGATGCTGAGTAGTTGCCCTGATAAATGTCTCTGCCAAGAAGGAGCTGCTTCTCCAAGATAGTGTGGCCCTAGAGACTAAACACAACTTTTATATTTACCTTTCACAAACCCAGTGGGAGGAAATTTCTTCTGGCAGCACTATCTGTCACACTAATTTCTTACATCAGTTTAAGCTGCTTTGTCTTGTGCTTGGTGTCTTTGATTATGTCTGCACACAGTCAGGGCCTCTTCTCCACCTCCCAGAAATCAAATGCATTGTGTCCAGGGGTGGCTCTGGCTGAGGGCATAGTGGGGCCCATCCTCATCACAACTGTAAAAGTCTCACTAAAACCTTTATTTGTCCCTCCGTGTTATGACTGACACACAGCAGCAGGCTAACACAATGGAGGTAAAGGTAATAAGGAGGTATCAGGTAACAACAGAAGCAGCAAATACCAAGTTACAACATGTAGCAGCTTGCTACCGCAGAAATAATTTCGACAGTGGGATTTCTTTGGAGCAGTGGGGGTGGTCTGCAGTGTGAAGCAGTTCACAGAGCTCCCAAACTTCCAGGCACCAGCACCTGAGCCCTCACTGGGGATTTTATTGGCTATGCCCAAGGTCACACAGGATGGGAACGTGGCAACTCAAGCTGAGCATGACAAGATGCATGCAGGAGAAAGCTGCAAATGTCCTTCACAAATGAATGGCTATTTTTTTGTATTGTTGCTTTGTGCTGCATAACTAAATGCTGTCTTCTTAGCATTATCTTTGTAATGATTAACCCATATTGTTCTCACCTTGTACAATACCCTTCTCTTGATCTCAATGTATTATATGCAGACACACACACACTAGTCCCTAGTATAAAATATTCTGCAGAGATCCTCACAGCTAAAATACATTAAAGAAGGCACTGACCATGTCTATACGGCTAACTTTAAATCCACTCCAGTTTGCAATAACTACAGTTCCTAAGAAAAACAGCCCTTGGCCTGTGCTCTCCTCTGAACTGTGCCTGGGCACCATCTCAGTGTGCTAGTTAGCACAGGCTCCCATCACACCCACATGTGTCATACAAATTAAGCAGCGTAGGCAATGATATGTTCATGCTCAAGTCCTCACTCTGGTCCCTCTTTGTTTACTGAAAAGATGTGGGTCTGTAATTCTGCCCAGGCATACCCTGAGCTGGGGATGGAGAAGGGAATGGTAGCTACCCATTAACCTCCTAATTCATCTGCAGCACAGAAGTGGGAGTTTTACCACAGTCTTCAGCAGCATGTTATTATGCTCTTCCAGAACAAAAGCCTTTATTTTCTCAAACTCATGCCTGGAAAGGGAGTATATGAGGAAAAAGCCCAGCATGCCCACCTGATTAACCTCCAGGCCTGTGGATATGATCCAGGCAGAGAGGAAAGGCAGCTGTCAGCAAACCCCAGCCACCAGATTTGCATTAGTGAATGGGAAAGGATGAAGCAGAAGGAAACAATACTATAGTTTCTTAACATCTCTGAAAGAAGCATCCAAGAAAGAAACAGGGCTTGCAAACAAAGGAATACCACATAGGAAATACAAATTATCCACCTGATTTATTGCAAAAGGGGGATTTCAGTGTGATTAAAAAGCCCCCAGCCTTTCACATGTATCGTCTATAGTGTTGAGAAAGGAGAACTTCCCAACATTGCTTGACTTTCAGTTCGACATACACTTTTTCTAAACAGAAGTTTAAAACAATCAAGAAATACTTTTTCATAAGCCCAGTGTTTAGGTATGCTGTAGAACAGCTTGCTGGAAGGATAGAGTGGATACCAATAGTATAAATGTGTTCAAAAAGTCTCTGTAGACACTCATGTAAAAAAAGATCCCTTAAGGTGATTACATACAGAGGCATAGCCAGTGTTTCAAAGTTGTATTGCCTAAGCTTCATCCAGATGAGAGTGTACCAGGACAAGGATCTCCCTGTATTTCCCTGGGTCTTACACTCTTTTCCTAAGTACCGCTGTCAGCTCTCCTCAGAGAGAAGATAATGGACTTAGAAGGACTTTCTGCCTGACCCAGTATGACTGTTCCTATGTAAAAGCACACAACAAAAACTTTACTCTGAAAAGTAAGCTTTAAACTGCTACCTGTTATAAAGCTCCTTCTTGCTACGATCAAAGCTATTGAGGCACACCAGCTGATCAAGACACCACTACACTGAGTAGGGGGCAGCTTTGCTCATGAAGTACAATCTGAGGATGAGCCACAATTTGACACTAAAAAACCATGCAAAGAACAAATCAGCAATGAGCAAACCCAAAGCAAGCATCACAGGAAGCAAGAGGTCCTAAGGAGATATTTAAAGGAGCTGGAGACACTGCTTGCTCATACTGTGACATCCAATGCCATCCCACACTATTTTGGGAATTACTAGAGAATTTTGGCCACTATCAATGTCACCTGAACAGTTTTCCCTAGGGGAAAATATTTTTAAGAGGTTTATAGGCAGTGCAGAAAAATTATATACTAAATTGTCAGTTATAGAAAGTCACTTTCACATTCCCGTTAGACTGAGTGTAACAGCATGAATCTGAAGCCAGATGAAGACCATAGAGCGAACATAGGTTATTTATCAAACACATATATAAATATATGTTTCTTTTCTGGCTTAAGTAAAGGTGGCCCATCCACCTATGTCAAAATCAGTTGTAATTGACTCATGAAAGGTTTTTAAGCCAATTAAGAAGTTCGAATTTCAATTGGCTGATGTGTCTTGTAATGTCACAGGATTCCCATCCAACTTGAGACATAAGATTGCGAAACACTCAACATTTAAAATTAAACTAGGTGCTTAAAAAAGTAAGTGATTTTTTAACAAAACTAAATATGTGACTATTAACTCATAAATGTAATTTTTAATTTACTGATAATTGATAATTAGTAATTGAGCGTGATTTACTCTTGATTATAAACAGCCAACTCTTACTCATCAGAAGCAGTGGACAGCGCAGGACTGTTTTCTTAACTTCTGCTATTTCTAAAATCACCTATGGTATAATTAAAACCATTCATTAATTCAAACAATAGCAGGACATGCATGTGACTTGTACTGAGGGGGATAACACTATTCACTAGTGTCAAATCCTGCAAAAGAAAAACCTGTATTCAGCTCATCTAAAACTAGAACTTAAAGAGTGTGCAGAAGACCAGTTGTAGGCAGCCAGCTCAGAATCTGGCAGGCACCAAATGATCCAGGGAGTCTGCCTCTGATTAGACTGATGAAAGTACAAAGTGGCTGTGAGATGCAGGTAGTTGCTAGACATCCTATCTATAAAAGCTTTCCTTTGTCTTTTTGAATAACCAAAGTTATAAGTGAACTTCTAATGCTCCCAGCTTTTTTAAGCTTTTGTGGAATAAAAGTTTGCAATGGTATGTAGGGGCTGGTTTCACTGAAACTCATTTTGGTTTGCTTCAGAAACAAAGACTTGTATGCACAGAGGTCCAAGCGAACAACAGAGACCATGAGCTAAAGGGTAGGGTACTAACTACCGCCCAGGATTACTCAGTACCAAGGCAAAATACGCACCAGAGAAGCAACTGCCATGTAAAGAGGAGCTCAAACCGCTGCTTGCAAATAGGTTGTCCATCTGGCATTCAGCCTCCTTGGATGATGGGCTAGAAGCACCCACTGAGATGTGTCCAGTGTGGAGGCCCAGTGCCGAGATGAGGGAGAGCAAAGGCCCTGAAGGGGTGTGCGGCTGTCGGTAGGCGCTGCAGAGCCCGGCCCAGCCCAGGGCCAGCAGCCCCTTACCCCCGCTCCCGGGCATGTCTCAGCACATCGCTAAGGTATCGCTCACTTCGAAATGGCCTGGTCCAAATATATATGACTCTGCCAGCTGCTCTTTCACCTTTGCCTAAGAACTGAGCACACACTCGCTCCCCTCTGCACCACATTACATGCAGCCCGGCACCTCTTCTTCACAGCCCGGTCGTAACATTTTGGAGGGGGCTAACAGCCTCACCCATGAGCACGCCCGTCTGAAGATCCAAAACCCTCCAGAAGTCTTGAGACAGACCTTCCCCTTCTTCCCCCCACAAGACAGAGACTGAGAAGCCGAGGACTAAGGCAGCAGCCTTTCCACCCGATTTCGGATACACCGCCGCCCCCCCCGAACTCGCGCTGCTCCTCCCAGCCCGGGGGGCCAGGAAGGTGGCACAAGCGCTGGGCAGACCCGGCAGGGGACCCCCGCAGGCGACCCCCGAGCGGCCAGGCGGGAAGGGGGGAGGCGCATCCCTCCCCGTGGCACATCGCACCCGAGCGGGGGGCACCACCGGCAGGTGGGCGCACCCCC